GAGGGTATGGATTAGGTGCATGCGCGCGCGTGAGCACACACCACACACACGCACATATACACTTTTCCCCTCAGTACCCATTTCTTAAATCTTGGCTTCACTCATGCTCACATTCAGTGCCAGTCACCTAGCTCCACCTGAGTGCAGAGGGCTCTCAGAGCTCAGTTTCCTGTTCTGTAAGGTGGAGATAATATCACCTCCTTTATTGGGTTTGTGAGATAAGTTGACCATATTTGCAAAGCCCTTTTGGTGATAGGACATAGTAAACATTCAGTAAATATTGACTCTCATCACCAACACCATCATCACCATCACCGTCACCATCACCATGACCTTCACCATCACCACCCAGCGTGGCTGAGAAATGCAGTTCTGTTAGTATCTGTCTGGATAGTGAGAACTCTATGCCTCATAAAAAACCCCCGGGAAAAAACCTACAGTATCTTAGGGCAGAGGAAGCGATGAGAGTTGACACATAGGGAGAGGGTGAGAAAGTGGGCAGAGAGGAAGTCTCCTTGTCCAGAGCCAGGCAGGAGATCAAGGGGTCCACAGGTGGTCCAAAGGAGATTTATGAACCCACTAAAATCATAAGGACAGTTCATGTGTCTGGGTTTTTTTCCAGGAATGTGGTCCTTAGCTTTCATCAGATCCTCAAAGGGGCACATGATCTAAAAGATTAGGAACAGCTGGGCTACAGGGAGGCTGTCCCTCCTTCAGTGAACCCTCAAAGACCTGTTGTACAAAGTACAATTTTAGGAGCTGTCGGAGTCCTGGAGGAAAGAGTAGCAGTGGGTGGCTGTCTTGTCTCCTAGAATCACAGCGTGTTGGAGGTTGCAGAGGCTTTGAGATGTTCCCATCCAGTCTCTTTGCTTGACGTGGAGTTGGCTGGAGTGACTCATTGCTGTTTGCTCCTATGAATCAGCTCTTCCTCGCAGGGGACAGACCAGCCGCCCCTGGATTTACAGTGATGCAGGAGAATCCCACTGTGCCTCATCCCCAGTCATCTCACTCACCGTGAGTCCAGCCTCCCAAACCATCTTCACCATATGGACAATCATCCCTTTCCTATGTTTCTCATCCTTTTACTGGCCCTTTCTTCCCAGCCCTTCCACATGCCATCGTCCACCACTGGCAACCTCTCCTCTGAGCGTTCCTTTCCTCATCCTTTAATTGAAATAAAGCTGTCTCCTGAGGACATTGTTTCTTGCATGGCTGTCTTAAGTGGTGGCTTCTCTGTCTCCAGGACACTGTATCCTGGGGGCCTGGAGGTGGGGTGAGTCCTCCTTGCTCCCCATTACCATCTGCAAACTGCCTCTCTTCCTTTATCTTCCGGAAGCCCCAGCTCCTTTGAAGTGAATGTCATCATACTTCACCAGCCCTTTGACCTTCTTGATGCTGCTGGCTGCTGACTTGCCTACTCACTCCTCACGTCCCCTGTGCACCTGGCTCACACACTCCCTCCCACCATACCTGTCTCAGCATCTCTGTAGATCAGTGGTCCTTGGAAGAGGTGTTCCCATCCCCTAGGGGGCATTTTGCAAATGTATGAGGTTTTTGATTTCTTTTCTAAAGTGGCTGTGCCCCAGCATTTATATTGAAATTTATATTATCGTGTTATGAAATGACTTCCCCTTTGTTCTTCTTTATATAATCTGTTAGGGCATTATATTAATTAAAAAAAGAAACCATAGTAGCTTGGATTCTTTTGTAAGTTTCATTTCAGAACAGAAAAGGGGGTATTAAAATATATTTGTTGTAATTTGTTATAAAAAGGGGGCATTTGGTCTGATAGAACTGACGGTGTTCTGTCAGAGGATGAAGATGGCAGATGCAGATAATCTATCCCACTCCCTGCCTTCCTCATTATTCCAGAACTTTCCCTCCAGCCCACCTCAGCCCCATTCAAGTGGTCACTCCCTAGTGCTCATCATCTCCAAGAACCCCATTCCTTCAAAATCTGGATCTAAACACCCCACTCTCTGATCATCACCCCCTATCCTTGTAGTTCACTGACTCTAGCAATTCTCCAAATTCATAGAAACCTCTTGGCATTGACCCTATCACTTTCCACTTCTCTATTTTCATTATTCCTTATCCCTTTGTGTTCTTACTTCCCTCCTTCCCGGTCTAGACTCCATGGGCCAACGTGATAACAGCTCCCTTTGCAAACATCCATAATTCTCATGTCCCACTCTCTCTCCTGCGATGCTTACCTGGAAAGACAGTCTATGCTAATTAAAACCACCCAACCAATGACTAGACCCACTTTAAATTGTGGCCACAAATCTCAAATAGGTGCTCAACACTGTCAGATAATTCTACCACCTCTCCCTTGTAAATTCATTCTCTCACTCTGCAAGATAATTATTTTCCACCTTCTCTTCTCCCCACAAATCTTCAACACTTTCCTGCCTTATCCCTTCCCACCTTAGCTGATGACTTCATGGAAGAAATAGGTGCACTTGGATGAGAACTACCTGATTTTCCCACTATTGCATCTTTCCTCCTACCTCCTCTGTGCCCACCAAGCTAATTTCGTCCTCATCCTCATTGCACTCGAGCTGACCTCTCAACAGCATTTCAAGGAGTTACCACACTCTCTTTCCTGAAACATGCCCTTCTCTAGACTTCTGGGTCTCCACACCTGCTGGTCTTGCTTCTACACTATTTATTGCTCCTTCAGAAACTCCCTTCCCGGCTCTGCCTCCACCAAACCTCCATATTACCAGAAGCTTCAGGCAAGACCTCTCCCTAAGCTTCAGACTCATACGTCCAACTGCCTACCTAGCCCTTCTATTGAGATTCCTATCAGGCGTCTTAAATTTACCATAACCAAAATATAACTATTAATGAATGTAGTAGGCTGAATAATGATCCCCCAAGACACCCAGGTCCTAGTCCCTGTTAATGTTACCTTATATGGCAAAGGGGACTTTGCAGATGTGACTAATCTAAGAATCTTGTAACAGGTAGAGTTTCATGGATTATTCAGGTGGACCTAATGTAATCAAAGTGTTCTCATAAGAGAAAGGCAGAGGGAGACTCAATGACAGGAGAGGAGTAGGAGATGTGACATCAGAAGAAAAGGGTGGTGATGCAAGGAAGTGGCAAGGAACACAGGCAACTTCTAAAAGCTGAAAAAAGGCAAGGAAATAGATTCTCCCCTCAAAGCCACCAGAGAAAAAACAGCCCTGCTGACACTTTCACTTTAGCCCAGTGACCCTGATTTTCAGACTTCTGATCTTCAGAACTGCAGGAGAATACATCTGTGTGGTTTCAAGCCACTGAATATGTGGTGATCTGTTACAGCAACAATTGGAAACTAATACAGTGGCTGCCACCACCACACAGATCCACACCCCTGGCCCTCATGCCTGCCATACCTCAGTCAATGGCACCAATACTCACCTAGCTTCTAGGCCAGAAGCTTCAGAGTTTGCTCTTGACTCACCTCACCTGCCAGCAAGTCTGTCAGCTCTGCTCCCAACATACATCCTGACTCCAGTGGCCTCTCACCTCCTCCGCCGCCGCACCTTAGTCTAAGCGTCCATCATTGCCGAGTTGCATCACTACATCACTTCCTCGGTCTTCGGCATCTACTCTTGGTCCCTCTTCAGTCTATTGTTTCACAGGAACCAGGATGACCTTTCTGAAGGGTATATCAGACCACATCGTCCTCCTATTACAGCCCTTCAATGGCTTCCCCTTATACTCAAGATAGAATATAAATCCCTTGCCATGGCCTATAAGGCCTTATCATAGACTGGCCTCTGACCCCCATCTCCCTGCACTGCCCGCTCATTCACTCATTCCCTGCGCCCTGGCCACAATGACCTCCTTTCTGAGCCGGGTGCCTTCCATTCCCACTTCCTGGCCTTTGTGCCTACAGCTCTTACTACTAACGTGCTCTCTCTCCAGACTTTACATGGATCCCTCCTTCTCATCATTTAAGTCTCAACTCAAGGGAATTCCCTGGTGGTCCAGCGGTTAGGACTCGGCGCTTTCATGGCTGTGGCCCAGGTTCAATCCCTGGTCGGGGAACTAAGATCCCACAAGCTGCGTGGCCCGGCCGGAAAAAAAAAAGAAAAAGAAAGAAAACGAAAAAAAAAGAAATTAAGTCTCAACTCAGATATCACCTCCCTCACAAGCCCTTACTACCGTCTCCATCGAACAGGACTCTCAGTGTCTGCAGGCAGTGGCTACTTCCCCCTGTTTTATCTTCCTCATAGCATGTGTCCGTGCCTGAAATAGTCTTATTGGTTTGTTTCCGTGTCTGTTGTGCGTCTCTCCACTAGAATGCCAGCTCTCTGAGGGCAGGACTCTGCCTGTCCTGTTCACTGCGCTATCCCTAGTGCTTAGCACATAGTAGGCACACAATATTTAGTTTCCTGGTTGTCTGACACAGCTCGTTTCTGACTCTACACTGCCCCTGGCCAATAGAACCATGCCAGAGTTCGCTCTGCCAGCAATGTGTGTATATTAGTAGCACTGGGCTTTTTGTTAAATAGCCAAGAGGCAATCGGTGGAATTTCGGACATTCAGCAGGTATGGAATGACCACAGGTTTCTGTTATGGTAAAGGCACGGGATTCAGTCAACATCTGCTAAGTGCCAGGTGCCACGGACACAGGGCAGAGGGAGAAAAAGGTATTTGTATTACGCCTTAATGGACAATGAATTTGGATACTGTCAGGCCAAGGAGAAGGAGGGATAGAGCAGAGGCAGAGGAAAAAGCACTGCATGTAGGTGCCCGACTATTTCACACCCTCGGTGTGGCGGCCTTCCACATACTTCCAAAGACTTGCTGAGCCTGGAAATGTAAGGATGGTTGCCATGTGGCCCAGAGCTGAAAGGTAGGTTTGAAAAGAACAAACCAAACCAATATAAATCTGGCTTACCCAATGCCTATACTCACTTATAAACGGAGGGAGACTCGTTTCTCCCGGCAGTGAGCTGCTATCTCTTACTCGCCTTTGTTTTCCTCTTCTCCCTGCTGTCCAGGCCTCATCATCCATGAGGGACCCTCCGTGTACCGCATCTTTAAACGGTGGCAGGCTGTCAACCAGCAATGGAAAGTGCTGAACTATGACAAGACGAAAGACCTGGAGGATCAAAAGGCAGGAGGCAGGACCAACGCCCGGATGTCCTCGTCCACCCAGGCCAACGCGCCCCCCTCCGGAGAGGAGGCTGTGGGCACCCCTGCCCCTGAGGAAGGCCCTGCCCGGGCGGCCAGCCACCCCTCAGGCCCTCTGTCCGATCACCACTGTGCTTACACCATCCTGCACATCTTGAGTCACTTAAGACCTCATGAACAGCGGACCCCCCAGGGCGGCAGCCGAGAGCTGGTCATGAGGGTCACGACGGTGTGAGAGGAGAGACCTGGGAGGGAGCTGTGACCACACATGCACGCACGAGAGCGAGGAGAGCAGGGGCCGGGGAGGGCCGCCCCTGACAGGACGCCATCTGGGGAGCAGGTGTGGGGAGGCATGGAGGCACCCCAGGGGCCAGAGGGCAGGCGGTGGGGGGTGGGTGCCTTGAGGGGCCTGGGGGCAGGACTGGAGCTGGAGGGAGGCTGGCGCTGTGAGCGGTTTCCTGATTTCCAACCGGTCAATACCATTCTCCAACAAGCACGAGGAAAACCAATACAAACTCAGCGACGAAGTGCAATACATACTGAGCCTAACAAAACACAACAACAGAGGCACCCAGATGTGCCCCCCTGTGCAAAACACCTGGGAGAAGTGGTGGCTGGGGAGGGCTAAGCTGCGTGTCTGGTGGCGGTGGTGCCCACATGTGCACGTGTGGGAAGGAAAAGCACTTGTAGCCAGCCTTGTTTTACCTTTGAGTTTGCTTTGGTTTCTCCCTGGGCTGTGTTCCAGGGACAGTTGGGGGGAGGGAGAGGGATGGGTGGGAGCTGGCAGAGATGAGATTCCTAGCATTTGTGGCCCCTGGGCTCACCTGGGTGGGCAGGATTCCTGACTCAGGCCTCAGGGGCAGTGGTGCAGGGAGGGAGATGCTGACCTGAGCGGCCAGAGGGAGGGGGGTTTCTTCCCCTTCCAAACCTTCCAAACTGGGAACTCCCAATTTCAGATGGGCTCAAAGAGGGCGTAGGTTTGGAGTAGGGTGTCTTTCTGTGCCCTTGTTACTTTATTTTATGGTGATTTGGCTCAAAGATGTTTACAGGAAACACACACACACACACAGACACACACACACACACACACACAACAATAGTACAGATTTCCCATGGGTATCTTGAGCACAGTCCTGCTGCCATGGCTTCAGCCTTCAAAGCTGTCAATCCAGGAGTGATTTTCCCAACCACCCAATACCACCCACGGCCACGACATGCTCAGTGACACGGCCCCTCCTGGTTTGGCACCTGCTGAGACCCAGGGCCCCCCATGGCAGGGCATCTCCTGCCCAGGGTCTCCCAGGAGAGCTGCTGCAGCGAATGGGAGGAAGTTGGCCGGATGTGCCCCAAGGAGTGGAGTGGAGACCAACCTAAGTATTCCTTGCTGCTCGGGACCCTCCCCCGAGGGCAGTTTGGCTAATCCCTCAGTGCTACCTGCTCCCTGGTCCCTCCCATACAGCAAGGCGGGCCCAGGGACCCTGGCAGGGAGTGCTGTCCCTTGAGCCCGCCTGCTGGATCTGGGACCCTGCCAGGGAAGGCCACGGGGTGGTCACCTGCAGAGTTTCTTTTTGTCATTGCACAATGGCCGCGTCATCCGTGGGTATGAAAGGGACACTGTCAAGTACTTTTTTAAACTAGTTTTTAGGGTTTTTTAAAACTCTCTGTTGTTTATATTATTCTCTTAAAAGCTTGAAAATAAAATTTCTTTCCCTACCACTGGTGTCCTTTCCCATATGTGAGTTTTTCCTGTCTCTGTCCTGTTTTCCCTCTATGGTATAATTTGCTTTCCCTCTCCTGTGTCTGCTCCACCCCTAGAGTCTTCTCCCTCACAAGAAACGGTTTCTCCTTTGAGGGTACAGATGGGGCAGGGTGTGTGTGTGTGTGTGTGTGTGTGTGAACCTACAGTGAAGCCCTGGGACTCCTGGCCTCTTCTGGTCTTCCTAGCAGGTGAATTCCTTTAAGTCGAAAAGAGGACCAGCTCCCCAACTTTTCCCAGGTTTCGGCCCAGGACTCCTGGAAGCGGAGGCCACTAGTGCTGGGAGGAAATTTGGAGAGTTTTCTCCCCATCTGGTCATTTCAGAGAAGCTAAGAGAACCACAGGTGAGGGGCATGTTAGGACCTCATTCCCCTGACAGTTTTCCTTTGAACATCAGAAAACAGCCCCCAGAGCAGGGCCCCAAGAGGGGGCTCAGACATATCACTAGGCAGCAGGCAAGGCTTTCCCTCCCTCCAACCTGACCTGACCCTCCTTCCTGGGGCCAGCATTTGGTCAGGCAACGTCATCAGTGGGATGTGCACAGGCTTAGGAAGGTTCCTCCTCTGATGAAGCTCACATACAAGTGAAAACCAACAAAACCATACAAGTAATTCATGTAGAGTGAAGGTATCTCTTTTTTCTTATAGTCTAAGAATGGGCCATTCAGTTTAATTAAATATTTACGTGGGAATTCCCTGGCGGTCCAGTGGTTAGGAGTCAGCACTTTCACTGCCGAGGGCCCGGGTTCAACCCATGGTCGGGGAACAAAGATCCCACAAGCCACATGGCACGGCCAAAATATATACATATATTTATGAAAAATATAGCTGTGTCCAGACATGCATTATCTATTTTCAAAAAAGTATCAGAATGCAACAAAATATGCATGTCAACAAAACTATAGTGGCCACTATGTCATCTTTCTTTGGTGATTCTCAGGGAGCTTCAGAGCATGGTGGTCATGCAGGGTCATCATTCAGAATATACTGTATTGAAGAAGAGGTGGTTAATGAAAAGTTCTAATAGAATTCTGGAGTTTGTTGGATCTTCATGATGTAAGCACCAAGAGATCAAGGACCATCTGTCTTGTTTACCACTATATATCCAGGACCTACAGGCCTACAGTAGTGCCTGGCATATAGTAGGTGCTCAATAAATATTTTTGAGTGAATAAGACACTCCTGGAAGAGAACGGAAGGACCTTCCAGCATGCAGGAGACATGCCTCCACTTCTATCAACTTACACTCCAGTTCTCAAGGTCAATCATAGAATAGAAAAGGTCAACCTTTGACCTCTCTACCCAACAGGATGGTAAATTCCCTGTGCCTTGGGGAATGGTGCTTTGGGGTACAAAAATGAGCGAGCTGGGTTTTTATATTTTATATGCATCTCTGGGGTTCGAGGTAGAAGTGCACCCTGACAACCTGAGACCACTGTCCTTTTCCAAATGTGCAAATCATCCTTCATACCGCAAGAAAAGGCCTAGATTTCATGTAGATTTATCCAATGCAGAGTGGTGAGAAGTAGTCCAGAGAATTCACCTGCACATCATTCCCAAGTATTGCCCCATGCATGGGACAAGATACCAGCTAACACCTAAAGCTCTTGCTATGTGTCAGGCACCCAATTAAATATTTATATGCATCGACATACTTAGTATTCCAACAACTGATGAAGTAGATACCATTATTATCTTCATTTTACAGATGTGGGCACCGAGGCAAAGAGGTTAAGTCACTAGCTCATAATCACCAGCCAGGATTCCATCCCAGGCAAACTGGCAGGACATGTGTCCACTCCTGCAGGACAACTGGCACCAAATAAAGGGAAATCTGGGACAGGACAATGCAGGGGGCTCATTATGGTAGAGATGTGTTGAAAACTTTTGGAGGTTGGAGAAATTGGGACTTAATAATTATAAACTATTTCTGTCCCCTACCAAAAATATTGAGGGTACCTAACAATTTTTGATATTGTTCAGTTAATACACTGGTTGAATGGAAGCCGCTATAGCAGAAAGTTGGCTTTATCTGGACAGTGGGGAATTCTCAAAGGACAAAAGACACAATTCAACCATATACATATATATATATATATATTTTTTTTTTTTTTTTTTTTTTTGCGGTACGCGGGCCTCTCAGTGTTGTGACCTCTCCCGTTGTGGAGCGCAGGCTCACCGGCCATGGCTCACGGGCCCAGCCGCTCCGCGGCATGTGGGATCTTCCCGGACCGGGGCACGAACCCGTGTCCCCTGCGTCGGCAGGCGGACTCTCAACCACTGCGCCACCAGGGAAGCCCATATATATATATTTTTAATAGTTTTTAAAAACTATTTTTTAAAAAAATAATTATTTATTTATTTATTTTATTTTGGGCTGTGTTGGGTCTTCATAGCTGAACGTGGGCTTTCTCTAGTTGCAGCGAGCGGGAGCTACTCTTCGTTGCAGTGCGCGGGCATCTGATCATGGTGGCTTCTCTTTGTTGTGGAGCACGGGCTCTAGGCGTGCGGGCTTCAGTAGTTGTGGCACGCGGGCTCAGTAGTTGTGGCTCTCAGGCTCTAGAGCACAGGCTCAGTTGTTGTGGCGCGCGGGCTTAGTTGCTCCATGGCATGTGGGATCTTCCTGGACCAGGGCTTGAACCTGTGTCCCCTGCAATGGCAGGAGGATTCTTAACCACTGCACCACCAGGGAAATTCTCAACCATATTTTTATGGGCAAAAGGTCAGTTTCCATAAGGAATCACAGAAGGCTTTTCTAGAAAAAAAAAAAAAGTAAAAATTATCCTATTTGGGGAATAGAATTTTGCCCCTGGTTCCAAGTGAGTAGTGTAGAATAGTGGGTTGGTGGCAGAGGTCTAAAAATAGCCCATAAAATTTAGGAGGACCCCACAATTATTACCCCACAAGAGGCCTTGTCCCTGTATACCAGGAGAATCAAATCTGTAACCATCTTAGAGCACAGAACCACGAAGACCATAGAATTTTTAAGTACCTATGAGATAATATACTGCTGTTTTTTGTTTGTTTTGTCCGGTGAGATTCAAAGATAACAGAGAGTAGAGGCATGGTTTGAATACAACAACAACCAATTTCTAAGAGAAATGATGTGCTTTGTAAGAAGAATACATTATACTGTGGAGGTGAGAGAGCTGGGGGCAAGATGAGAAACACACTTTGCATTATCCCTTATCACCTTTTCTCAAATTATCCTGTTAAGTAACAAGCAAACAAGGACGATTTTCACCTGTAAGGGTCTGAGTTTATAGCAGTGATGCAGTGATCCTAAAACCTCCCCCTACCCCTACATCTCCACCCACCCTTGTTGGCAGAAGGGCATGTGGGAACTGGGAAGTGCCTGGGGTGCCATAGATGATTAAGTAACACTCCAAGATGACTCTAAGTGGTGAGGGTCTGGGACTGGCTTCACCCCAGATCTGAGTCCAGGGTCTGGGCTGCATTGGGTTGGTGCCTAAGCACCCTTGTCCCACCATAGGGTCCTTCTTCTTGCTGCCTCTCCCCCTCCAGCATCCTATCTCCTCCTCACCCAGCCTCTCATGGAAATAAGAATCCACTGGGCGAAGGCTTTCTTCCTGCCCAAGGCCCAGTCTGATGAGAACTACAGCCCTCAGTGCCCTCCTGAGCCCCAACCACTGGCCACTGAGGCGAGTCTCTCATCTTTAAATGAGTGACCCATAACCGTGTACCAAACACCTCCCCAGCACACTCAGTTTTGACCCAAGTGCTCAGTAGATGTTTAGGGAAGAGAAGAAGTTGTGGTTGAGGAGGGTTTAGGGAAGAAAAGAAAAGCAGGCTCACCCTGTGCT